CGATCTATGGCTGAGGTCAGAGACTGAACGAGCCATTCTAGGAAAGAACAAAATTTCATTTTAATTCAGTTCCTTCTGTATGAGCACAATTTCACTTTCAAGCATTTACTTCCCATATCTGATCCTCCCCTGCTATTATGTCACCTTCAAAATTCAAATGTCCCCAGTGCGATAGTACTAAGAGGTAGGGCCTTTAAGAAGAGATTAGGTCATGAGAGCCCCTCTTCTCATGAATGAAATTAAGGTTCTTATCAAAGAGGCTCCAGGCAGCATTCAGCTCATGTGCCCTGGCACCTTCTGCCACATGAGGACACGCAGCTTTTCTCCCTTCCAGAGCACCCAAGCACAAGGCGCCATCTTGGAAGCAGAGAGTAGCCCTCACTAGACAAGCAAACCTGCCCATGCCTTAATCTTGGACTTCCCAGCCTCCAGAACTCTGAGCAAATGAATTTTTGTTCTTTATAAATTACCCACTGTCAGGTATTTTGTTAAAGCAGCACTGAATGGGCTAAGACATCCACCAGTGTTTACAAATGGTTTGAATGAATTGATGAAGACCCAAGACATGGACCACTCATCAAATCATAATGTTTCTGAGGAATAAAGCTTCAGCACTTCTCTTGACCAGCAAATTAGTGGAGAAACAAACTAGAGCCTTCTGCCCTGGTATGCCAGCTATAATTGTCTTCAGGAGAAAACACGGAAGTTGTAGATACATACACATTTCTTCTAAAACCCCAGTCATCCCTATTAGAATTGTAAAAACATCCACAGGGTCCTCCTAAGAGTCATCGTCACTGTAGTGAGCCAGACATTTGGAGAAGATCCCAAAAGCTGAAGCAGCAGTCAGAGCCCTGTCTCTGGGACCCCAGCCGCTGGCTCTAGGATGAGCCACTGGGCTCTGCCCTCAGGGTTGGCTCCCACAACTACATTGTCTTGTCTTTCATACAACTAAAGGGCCTTTCCCCAGATGAGGATGCCAGCTCTTAACTGCTACCTCCCCCTAGAGTGAATTCGCCCAGGCCATCTGAAATACTCACTGGCCAGTGAGAACAGGCCAAGATGTGTATACCCTTGGTCGATTTTATGTTTCCTTTTTTGTGGCTCTCTGAAACACAGCCTGAGTTATGCAGAGTAATAAAGTCATTTTCAAGGTTTTTTCGTCTACCTCTAACAATCCCTCTAGGGTAAACAGAGTTCCGTTCATCATTAATAGACTCAAGGGAAAACAAAGTGATCAACACTGGACTCTATTTCCACTACCCCCACCCTTCCCAGCTTCAGGAAACAGCTTCAGCATTTGAGTGGGCAAATGAGAAACTATTTTTCTCATATAACACTGTAGGCCTAGAGCCACGGTCTACATGCTTTAGACATCATTAGCAGTATTTAAATTGCCAAGGAAGACACGGGACTAAAACTAGAACAGACCAAGGTTTCTCAACCTTGGCACTATTGAGGCTTTGGGCCTGCTTTACAGTGGGGGGCTGTCCTTTGCATTGTAGGATGTTGAGCAACATCTCTGACCTCCACCCATTGGATACCAGTAGTACCTCCCAGTTGTGACAACCAAAAATGTCTCCAGGCATTGTCAAATGTCCTCTGGGAGGAGGGAAGCAAAATCTCCCCATGGCTTAGAACCACTGGAACAAGCCAGTGAAACCATTGTATTCTGAGAATGGAAGCTGAGCTGGCCCCCACGAATGTTTTCTACGGCAAATCACATTCAAGAGGTCCAATTCTGAAGACAGTCCTGTTAACCAAATTCTCTCTTTTGGTCTAACCCTCCAAATCCTAAAGTTACATGGTTATGGAATTTGCTATGCAATCAACCTCTTTCATCTGGTGACAATTAAGTTGTAAGTGCAGAAAACATGACACCTAATTTTGTGCTTATGAAACAGGAGTGGCCAGCACGAAGGGTTAGGCCTCATTTTGCGGTGTGGCTGCGGAATTGGTTGTTTCTTTCAGGCTATTCTTTCGGGTTCAAACACTTTTCCTTGGCACTTCCTTTTGAAATCAAACTATGTTGACTTAGCTTTGGAAGTTTTCTGTGGCCTCCCACAATTCTCAGGACAATCGCTGAAATAGTTGGTTGATATTTAACAGATATTTTCCTAATGCTACAAGGAAAGAAAGGTTCCACATTTCACTGCTTCAGCTTCTGAATTATTTTCATTCTTATAATTATGACCTTGTGGTGGATTTTCATGCCCAACAGTAACACCAAAAAGAACAGAACTGCGTCTGTGGGTCCCATCACAAGCAACGAATGACAGATACGACTCTGTGAGCCCAATTTTGACCGTGGTCAGACGACTTCATTAGAAAATAAAAATTCAAAGACTACAACCCACAGGAGCCATGAAAACAAAAACATCACCATTTGCCAAAACCCTTGTTTGTCTGGATGGAGCAAGTTTATACTAACAAACTAAAGAATGAGAAAAAATGTATCTTGCAGACTGTAAAAGTTCATCTAGTTAAAAATGGGAGTATTTTCATTTTGAATTACCTTTGATTTGAATTCTTCCCTACAAAGAAATCTACATTATTAAATTGTAGTTGGCCTTATCATAATAGATGAAAGAAATCTTGAGCTGACCTGTTCCTGGTTAGCTGATTATGGAAGTGGGTAATCCGTTCTTGAGTCATCCTTTCCAAATGGCCTTTGTGACAGCTTAAAGAGCTTTCCAGCTCTGCAGTCCTGTAATATGACCTTAATAGCCAATTCATGGTTCACTGGAAGTACTGACCGAATTTCCACAATGTCACACTCTTTGTAGAGAATGCCGCCAATTGCTTAACTCCAGGATAGCAGTGTGCCCTAACCACCACGTGGCTTCCTCTATCCCACTCCAGAGGAAAACCCTCCCCACAACGTAAAGAAGGTCCCATCCATGACAATACACCTACACTGACACGCTGGTGATAGTTTTTCTTTCATAGTCTCAAAAAAAGAAGAGGTCATTGCACTAAAGCACACATTTTTAGATCATTGCTTTATTTCACTAATTGTTCAACAACAAAGTTCATTCCTCTCAAGGTGGATCTTGAATCATTCCTTGTGTTCTCTTCCTCGTTCTGAATAAAAAAGGTAATGAAGAAAAAGCCTGTACTTTTGGAGACCTAGAATCTTGATTGATGCTAATAAGCTTTTGACAGCAATTTCGTGTTACGATATTTCCTGCTGGCATCTTGGTGGTCTCACGGGGCTCTCCACCCTCCAGTGAAGATGGCTGTCCACAACTACCACCACTGAAACCAAAAGGAAGTGTTGAAAAATGCACCTTTTACAATAAAAAAGTAGAAACCAATTCAATTTCCTCTTTTTTTTTTTTTTTTTTACGAATATAAAGTTTCTTGTAAATATGTACAGTCTTTTGAGCTAGTTCTATATAGCAGGAAGCAGTTCACAGATGAGACACACAATATACATTTTCAGGGCTCAGGAAGCCCGTTTCTCATGGAGATCCTAAATGAAATGCCAAGACTGAAAGACCAATTTTCAGTGACCTTTCCAAATACTGTGGACCAAGAGACAAAAACTTCAGCAAACATTCAATCAAATCTGCCCTGGGGACGGGAGGGGAGGGAGTACGACCCCACAGACTCCAAGCAACACATGAAACGCGACAGCAGGACATTTGCCAAAGGAGCTACCACATGGAGGTTTGTAGGCGTTTCAAACAAGAAAGCACTTAGGTTAAGACACGAGCAGGAAGGAGCTGGGATGCAGGCCAGGTTGCGATCTGGAAAGGGATCTGAACTGTGGACACATGGTTGAAAACACGGTCGTGTTCACCTGCTGCGGTGGAAACGGGTCTACCTTTGAGCCTACCTAGGAGGTGCCTGGGTTGTTGAGGCGGGCCTAAGAGTCGTGGAGGACCCAAAGCAACAGATGCCTTGTGGGAGATTAAAGGCAGAAATAAGGCCGCGAGTTAGCTTGCCAACTGCAAAGCCTCTAGGTTGGTTCTATACCAGTTGCCAGGAATTTCATACTCAAATAGGAGGGTCCGGAGACCCAGTGGGAGCCGCACTGCACCTAAGGACTTCCCAACCCGGGCAGAGCTGGAAGAGTTGAGCTGCGGCTGCTTTCTCACACTTCCTGGTCTCAGGTCCCCCAGTCCTAGGGAAAGGCTCATTTGGGAAGTCACAGTTTCGTGGGGTAGAACCGCGCTGGATTGGGTGTGAACAGAGTCATCCTCGGCAGGCAGGGAAGTGTGAAGCTCGGAGGGGACACTGAGTGGGAGGTGGTGGTTTGCTGAAATCCTTCTCTGGTCGTAAGGCTTGAGCGTTTTGTTTTTTTTTTGTTTGTTCAGTGCTACAGACTGCAGCTTGTGGTGGCCAGTTAGTCGGCAAGTCGTCAGAGGGTCTCGATTCGGCAGGAGCTATGGGATGGTGTTAATACATTGGCAGAGCAACCCAAGGGGGCAGCACATGCAGTAAACCGCCATGCAGAACTCCCGACGGGCCTCTTCCCCATCCCACAGTGGGGAACAACACACCGTCACAGACAGGAGGTGGGTGCCCCCGTCCCCTCCCCGACCCCGAGACCCAGGAGTGCTGGGCTCCGAGCAAGTCTATTGCATGCTTTCCTGGCCAAAGCTATATGGCAAGCAGGAACAGCAGGCTGGGGAGATGACGCTGGGGGGCGGGGAAGGAAAGCGTCTCGAGGTCCCTTGGCCCCAAGTCACTGCCTCCGAGCTGAGGCCCAATGACCTCAAGTCACTGCCTCCGAGCTGAGGCCCGATGACCTCCGTACATTCTCAGCTGGTGGGAGGGGAAGTCGTCAAGGCCATAAAAGGCAATGAAAACAGTAAACATTTGGCTATGATGTCACCCTGGGGAAAGCAGGGCCATCTATGAGAATGAACAGGAACAAGGATGAACCTACGTGGCTGCAGGAGGTTGGCCAACTGACCGGGACTCTTCTATACTACGCCTCGGTAGCAAAGACCTGATGATGTGATCTAGCTAAAAATGACTACAACAGGAAATACGTTGCTATTCAAATCTATTAAGAATTCTGTTGTCTTAAAAAAAAAAAAAAAAGAAAGAAACAAAGGAAAAAAAAAAAACCAACCAATCCTAGGATATTAAAGTAGCTAATTAGGATTCTAACCACGTCGTAGTCAGCATCCCGGTTGGTTTCCTTTGATGAACTAACTGGTACAGGCTAGAGCTAGGTACAAAAGTTTGTGAATGCTTTGAAAGAGTAACAAAGTGCAAAGAGATGGCTGCAGGGAGGTGCCCAGGGCAGGCACCGGGCCTGACAGCTCCGAAGAGCCTCAGCCACCTGCCCCTCCTGGAGACAGGGGTGTCCGTGCTGAGGTGGGTCTGGGCCCCACTGAGCCAGAGGGTGGCTGAGAACGTGGGCGCTTGGGTCCCCATCAGCAGAGTTCCATGGTGTGTTTGGTGTTTCCTGCAGATCGAGATGAGGAGTTGGCTTTTCTGGCTGAGATTTATACTGAAGACTGGTCCCAGACCTAGGAGTGAAATAAGGAGGAGGAGTGTTAGCCATCCGAGGCCAGAAGTTGCTGTGCTCACCTTGCACAATGCAAATGGGAATCTGCAGCCCCTGGGCTATCCCCTTCAGCAGTTAGCAGTGAGTACTCAGCAGGGCAGCACCCGCTCCAGAGCCTGGGAAAGCCAGGGAGTGAAACTCACTGGAAAATCCGAAAGCCGTGTGTGTACCTGTGTTGCTGTAAGCATGTTAACGCACACACACGCACATACACAGTTTCATCGGTCAATTGGGAGGGATAAGAAGCCACATGGATGGTGTTTCCTTCTTTCTTTACCAGCAGGTGAACTGCACGTGGCATCAGAAGGAGAATGCCACCCAGAAAATCAGCCCCAAATGGCAGAAAGGTGGCTCCTTGGCCTGCTTAGCCTGCTGAGGAGGCACCAAGCACTTGAGCCATCCCCTGCCTGGGGGAGCCCCTGGTCTTCAACACCTATCCCTCTCCTCGATCGCGAACCTAAAAATTACACAGATCATTCATGCCCATGATTTAAACATTTATAAAAGTTCAAAGTTCTTCTGGAAGGCAACCACTGTGAACACTTTTCTGTGTAGCCTTCCAGAAAAACAATTTATATATACACATGAGTGGGCCGAGCGTGGTGACTCATGCCTGTAATCCCAGCATTTTGGGAGGCCAAGGTGCGAGGACTGCTTGAGCTTAGGAGTTCAAGACCAGCCTGGGCACATAGCGACATTCTGTCTCTAAAAAAAATAAAAAGGGGGGTGGGGGTGGGAATTAGACAGATGGTGGCTTAAGCCTGTAGTCCCAGCTATTCAGGAGGCTGAGGCTGGAGGATCACTTGAGCCCAGGAGTTCAACGCTGTGGTGAGCTATGATCACACCACTGCACTCCAGCCTGGGCAACACAGTAAGACCGTGTCTCTAAAACAACCAAAAACAAAAACAAACAAAAAGTGGGGGGAAAAGCCAGACATGGTAGCTACAGCCCATATTCCCAACTACTCAGGAGGCTGAAGTGAGAGGATCGCTTGAGCCCAGGAGTTCGAGGCTGCCGTGAGCTATAATCATGCCACTGCACTCCAGCCTGGGTAACAGAGCAAGACACTCTCTCAAAAAAAAAAAAAAAAAAAAAAAAGCATATGTGTGTATGTGTATGAATCTGTATGTATAGTAAAGCATGGAACATTTCATATAGGATGCTATCATTCGGGTTTTAAAAAGGAGAGCACACATATTTGCTTGTATGCACAGACTATCTCTAGAAACTGCTACCACTTGTCTCTGGAGAAAGGAAAACAGATTTTTTGGTAGCTATTATATTTTGAGTTATACACATACATATTTTCCTTTTTAATCACACACACGTTATCCATTTGCTTAGGAAGCTATTTCGTTTTTCTTTTCTTTTTTTTTTTTTTTT